CCCTAAACCCTAAACCGCTTTTCAGGGAAAACGGGGCGGCTTTGCGTAATTTAGGTTTTAGGGGATTTTCGTTTCTGGTTTTAAGGTGAAAGTCGATCCTAGGGCTCGTAGGGTTTGGAGGCTTTTGGGGCTCTTACGTTGTTTGGGCATGCGAAAGCGTCAGAATGTTTTGGGCAGCAGCCACAATCAGTAATCATTGAATTAAGAAACTCTTGAGGAAGATATCTAATGTTCTATGCTCTGTCGCGAAATTGGACACAGCGCAGACCTGGCAACAAACCATTTTTCGCCAGCTAGGGAAGCCTGGGCAACACCTGAGCGGTAAGAGATGAAAGTTCTGCAGCAGAAGTTCGGAGAGCGCCGCGTCTTGTTGTATAATATAGGGTCCTTAATAAATACCTATACTATTTTGGGGGTTCCTTACTAGAATTACTACAGTATAAGGGGCCCCCAAACCTTATTCTAATTAAAAAGCCCCTATATAAGCCAATGGGAGAACTTTAACTTTTTTGGTGCCTCATATATAGGGTCTATCCTACAAGTTTGAACTTTTTTTGGGCCTGGCTCTTGAAAAAAGAGAGACGCAGAAGCTGAAGCTTTCGACCGGCCCTGCACTCCAGACCCTGCTTTCAAACCTTAAACCCTAAACCCTAAACCAATCACAGGATTCGTGTGTCAGGTCCCTTGAGCTTAACCGCTGCAACTTCGATACTGACCCTACATCCGAAGCACTTCACTCTAATCCTAGAAGCACTTTGGGCTTGGGGTATAGGGGTTAAAATGCCAAAGCTCAGAGCAAGCTTCCGATCTCATTAAATCCTAGGCCCGAAGCCCTGGACCCTAAACCCTAAACCCTAAACCCGAAGCCCTAAACCCTAAACCCTAAACCCTAAACCCTAAAGCATAAGCCCTGGACCCGACCCTAAGTGCTCAGGTCCGAGACGTTTCCCTATATCGCGCGCCGGCTGCTTACAGACGATGGGGATCGCATCCGAAAGGCGCTTCGGTTTAGGGTTTAGGGTTTAGGGCTTAGGGCTTAGGGTTTAGGGTTTAGGGTTTAGGGATTAGGGTTCAGGGTTTAGGGTTTAGGGTTTAGGGTTTTCTTTCTTGGGGATCTTAGTTTCAGAGCTCAGGGCACTTCTTGGAGGTTCATGGGTAGTTAGAAGTGGGATTCTAAGTCCCCTAATATGGGTTATAAGTATAGTTGCCCTACTTATAACTCCACTTATAGCTACCCATGAACCTCCAAGTAGGGCTCTTGCATGGTTTAAGGTTTAATCTCGGGGTCGGAGTCATTTGTAACATGATCCCCTTGTATAGGCCCTGTTCAACTCATAGTACAATATCACCCAACAGCCCAATCTCATTTTCAAGACCTTTATATTCGAGTTTAGAACCGAACCCTAAACCCTAAACCCTAAACCCTGAACCCTAAACCCTAAACACCCTAAACCAATAACCCTAGCGCATTGGCTAAGCATCCAAGTTTCAGTTCGGGGCCTGTCCGCTGCTACATGGATTCAGATAGAGGAAGGCCTGCAACCCTGACCCTGAACCCTAAACCCGAAGCTGTAGGGCTTTAGGGTTGAGCGTTGTGAGGGTTTAGTAGGGTTTAAGGATTTAGGGCCGTTTAGGGCAAGGGTTGATGGATGTTAGGGCTTATACGGGTCTAGCAGCTTAGGGTTTAGGGATGCTAGGGCAAGGTAGCTTGCTTCACTTCAGGGTTGTCTGCGCAAAAAACCGCCTCACCAGCAGGATCCGGCAGAATAAGGTGCTGGGAATCCGATCCTTCGTTCATGACTCTACGTCACCGGTATACCGCCCAAACCCGAAATCCCTAAAGCCCCAGACGGCCCTGAAACCCTGTAAGGAAAGCCCTAAGCCCCCCACCGTGCAACCTTCACACCCCAACATGCCCTAAACCTAAACCGTAAGACCCTAAAACCCTAAAGCCCTAAAGCCCTCAACCCTAAAACCCTAAACCCTTTTGCCCTAAAGCCCTAAAACCCTAAAACCCTAAAGCGCTAAAACCCTAAAACCCTAAAGCCCTATAACCCTAAAGCCCTAAACCATAAAACCATGAACCCTAAACTTCTGATGCTGCCCCAAACCCATATCAACCCCAAAAGCGGAGGCACTGAAGGCCTACACCCTAAACCCTAAACCCTAAACCCTTTTTTTCGGAGGCACTGAAGGCCTACACCCTAAACCCTAAACCCTAAACCCTTTTTTTCGGAGGCACTGAAGGCCTACCTCTACAAGGGTCGCGCGCGCATGGCCCCGGATCGCCTTGAGAGCATTGCACGAGGTCAGGGCCTTTTGGGCCTCTTGCGCTTCGGTTTTAGGGTTGGGGGTTGTAGGGTTGAGGGTGTCGGTTTTAGGGTTGAGGGTTTAGGGTTTAGGGGTTTCGTTTTTTCGTTTCTCATTGTCGGAATGTGCTGTCTAGTGAAGTGTCTCTGCCGTTAGATGAAGGGTTGTGTCTTGTACCTGTTTGGTTTTGATTTTAGGGTTTCAGGTTAAGGCCAGGATAAACAATCCCTTCGGATGTCGAACGTGCCTGTTATATAGACCTTGACTTCAGATTGGGTTTATGAGTAGTAGCTTTAGAGTGGATGCACGTAGTCTGCCTGTCTTTGTGGTATCAGCGTTGGGAGAAAGATGGCCAAGGCTGGTGGCGGAGGTTGTCACAACTGTGACGATGATGGCGATGTGGTGGCCATAGCAACAGTGGTGGTCATGATGCTGATGTCAGTGGTGTATTCATGATAAGAACAAGAGTGAGCATGAGAGCAAGACGAAGACGAAGCAGCAGCAGCAGCAGCAGCAGCAGCTGCTGCAGCAGCAGCTGCTGGAGCACTGTTAATGACGATTGTGACTACGGTTATATGGAGGCAACGGCAATGGCAATGGTAGAGTCGTCGTTGGTGATGGCATGCATGCGCGGCCGGGACGCTGATGACACGATGAGGACCACAGACGATTTTTGGCTGATTATGGCGATGATGAGAAGACTGATGACGGCGACGATGATGATGATGATGGTGATGATGGCGATGATGATGATGATGATGATGATGATGATGCTGTTGATGATGATGACGACGATGATGATAACGATGGTGGCGATTATGATGATGAACATGATGCTTTATCATGGGGCGGGGATGATGAGCGTGACAATGATGCCGGTTGTTACGATGGTCAGGTCGGTGATGGTGCTGCTGAAAATGCTCGTTCATGTGAGACCGAATGCGGCTTCGTAGTATTCCAAGTATTCGCTGCAGACCGAGACACAGAAACAATATTCATACACGCTTCAACTCTCAAACTACTCAAAGCACACCAGCGCACACACAAAGCCGATCTCGCCAATGTAAAGATTTAAAAGAATGTGCGAGCTCTCAATATCCAAGCGCACATCCGCACTCCAAAACTCTAAAGACCGTGATCCAACCGTTCATCCGCAGGCTTCCGAACCTTCACCAATCTCATGAGCCTGGGAAGAAGCGTGGGTTTGGGGTTTAGGATTTTGCGGGTTCCTTCTTACAATTATGGTATAGTATACCCCTAAAACGCTATTCTAATTGTTAAGGCCCCTACATTAGAGCATTTTTGGGGGATTCATGGGTTTAGGGCTTGGGGCTCTCGGGCGCAGGTGTTCCGACCCTAAACCCTAAACTCTAAACCTGGAAGTATGGGCCCTAACACGGACCCTTAGGCCTGTCTGGGAACTTTTACTGGTAGATATAGGGTATATATATATATATATATATAGTAGGTGTATAAGGATCCCAGGGTTAAGGGCCCATACCACGGGCCCATGGGTTCAACCTTTGAAGCTTAGAGTTTCCTGGCCTATGGGTGGATGGGCTTTTCGAGAATCAGAGCCAGGGTTCAGGGGTTCAGGGGTGGAGGGGTTGAGGGTTTAGGGGTGTAAGGGTTTAGGGTTCAGGGGTTAGGGGTTCAGGGGTTTAGGGTTCTAGACCATGTCAAGGCGTGTTGTCTCTGTCGATGATGGATGGGCTTCGTAGACGCTAAACCCTAAACCCTCAACCCCTAAACCCCCAAACCCCTAAACCCCTTGACCCCTAAACCCCTAAACCCCTAAACCTTAAACCCTAAATCCCCAGACCTCTAAACACCCTAAACCCCTCGATCCTAAACTCTAAACCCGTCGACTAAAGCTCCACCTCTGAACCTCACGCTCCCTCCACCCTCCCCCCGTGTGTTGAGACTTACGGGCCCCCCCTCCCGCTTTAGGATGCTTTCAGCCTTCGGGCTTTAGGGTTTGAGGGGTTAAGCCCTAAACCCTAAACCCTAAAATCCGAAACCCTAAACCCTGAAATCCGAAACCCTAAAACCCTAAACCCCAAACCCTAAACCCTAAACCCTAAACCCTAAAATCCGAAACCCGAAAACCTTCTAGGGGTTGAGGGCAGCTTCCAAGGAAAGGCGGTCGGAATGAGGCGGTGGCTGCGGGCGCCCCGCGCCCCGAGGAGATGACCGGTCTGAGCTCGGGGTTATTTTTTGGGTTAGGGTTTAGGGGTTTAGGGTTTAGGGTTTAGGGTTTAGGGTTTAGGGTTTAGGGTTTAGGGGGGCTCAGGGTTTACGGTAAACCGCTAAACCCCTAAACCCCTAAACCCCTGAACCCCTAAACCCTAAACCCTAAACCCTACCCAAGGTTAGGGGTTTGTTTAGGGTCTTGGGGTTGTTGGGGCTTAGAGTTCTTGCCAAGGTGTGAGGGTTACTGTAGGGGTTGTTAAACAACGGCTGTTATGGGGGTTTAGGAGCATTCTGGGAAGTTATCGCTATTTAGGGATTTTGGCTTTTGGGCTTCTCCGACCTCGGGTTTTCCTAAACCTTTCGGGGTTTAGGGTTTAGGGGTTTAGGGAACCAACGTCATAGTGCACGCCGTGGCAGGATGTAGGAGACCCTCAACCCTAAACCCTAAACCCTAAACCCTCAACCCTAAACCCTAAACCCTAAACCTTAAACCCTCAACCCTAAACCCTAAACCCGAGGGAACCTGTTAAAAAAAGCCCTAAACCGAAGCAGCGGACCGAAGGTTATGAAAGCTCAACCCTAAATCCTAAACCCTCAACCCTAAATCCTAAACCCGCTT